TAGTCAAAGAGGAGGAGGGAATGCATTCTAAGTAGAGAAAACAGTATGTGCAGAGTCTCTGAGACAGCAAGCAACTTTAAGGATACAATAAACTTTAGTTTTAATTTTGTTGCGTTTTTGAATAACAGGATAATACAGTTAAATTTATGCTTAAAAAGGGCACTGTGGAAAAATAAAAAAAGCACCCTAGGAAGGGGTCTGTACTGTGTGTGACGGGGCCAGGTAGGAAGTTGTTGCAATAGTCCTAGAAGAGATGATATTTTAGACTAGAGTAGAGACAGTGGAAATAGAGAAAAGTTGATGGATTTGTGAGAATTATAGGAAGCAGAATCAGTAGGACTTGGTAATTGATTAGCTATTGAAGTTGAAGTAAAAAATCCCACCATCTTCCAGTTGTCTGCTTTCAGTGTCTTTGTGGAAGATGGTACCATTTCCTGAAAAGGCAACGCTGGAGGAGAAGAGGATTGAGGGGAAGGTGATGAGTTTGGTTTTGGACATGAGTTTGAAGTACTTGTGAGATAGCCAGGTGGTCAGGAGTTCAAAGGAGGAGTCTAGACTAGAGAGAGAGCTGGGAAGTTGTCAGTGTGCACACAGTATGTGAAACAGTCTAAGAAGAAAGAATGAAAGGAAAAGAGCACCTAAGGGCTTTGAGGCACCTCCCAAATTTAAATGTCTGTTCTTGGGGACTGAGAAGTAATTGCCAGTAAAAAAGGAGACAAACCACAAGCATGTCATAAAAGTGTTATCACAGAAGTTGAAATAACAAAATTTTTCCAAGAGGGAGTGCTGGGCTGTTGTAAAATGCTACAAAGTGTTCGCTGGATGACAGCAACGTAGAGGTCAAGGCTCACGGAGCCAGTGCAGTAGCCGGCCCAGAAGCCAGCTTGGAGTAGGAAATGGGATGGAGATGCCACCTCGTTGCTAGCCCGTGTCTACTGGCTGTAGAAGCCCTGGCAAGCACTCAGTGGGAAAGGGCCCTGCTTCGGCTGTGCCTGGAGCTGAACAGCCTAGAAAGAAACAGTGCTGAGAAGGGCTTCACATCCGGTGACCCGGAAAAAGAAAATTACCAGCAATCAATCCAGATCAATCTGATCCCAGCCTGTTCTCACAGAATTATTTATTTGAGGGTTTATTGTTTAGCGGTTTTTTGTTTTTTTTTTAATCACAGGTGCTAAGTTGGGTACATTCTACCTCGCCTGGCTTCCAAATCCACTGCTGTGTTCAAGTTCAGGCTCTTCTAACCCAGCCTAGGTTATTATAAATGCTGTCTAATTGAACTTTCTGCAGTGATGGAAATCCCTGCCCGATACCGTAGCCATTAGCCACACGTAACTACTGAGCACCTGAAATGTGGCTCATGTGACTCAGGAACTGAGTTTTTAACCATTTATTAATTTGAATTTCGATAGCCACGTGTGGCTAGTGGATGCCAAATTGCACCATGCAGATCTAGACAATATTTTTGAGGTGATGGGCTGTGAAGGGAAGAAGAGCAATAAGGTGAGACCTGGAGAGAGATACAGACGTCTTATTATAAGTGATGCAGTACAGTTTTGAAAACCTCCTATACCCCTATACTTCATTACCTAAAAAATGTTCTCTTTAATCCCAAATATAGGATGGGTTTAGTCTTTATATACCTTGATTACTTTGTTCAGTACATAGTTAACTGATTTGGTTCTTTATTAAAGTCTTTAAGTAGCTAGCTTGCCAGTGCTTTATTTTGAATTTTGATGCTGCATTTTTAATGGTTTTATTTTTCTTACGGCAATTCTATTGAGTGAAAATGCAGCTAATTTTTGGTAGGTATTATCTGTTTCTAAAGAGAAATGAGATTGACTTGGTCTTGATTTTTTTTAATATGCATACAATGCTTATTGTGTCCAAAGTGCCTTATATATATCAACTTTTTTATTTCACACAACCATGTGAAATAGATACTTTATTGTCTACATTTTATAGGTAAGAAAACTAAGGCACTAAGAAGTGAAGTCCTTGCCCAGCACTGCATAGTGAGAAGTGTGGTAGGGTTAGGGTTTGAACCCAGGCAGTTTTGACTCTAGCCTGTGGGTTCTTAATGATTATACTGTACTGTCCCCCATGTCATCACACTGATTGCTTCTGTTATATGTCCAGTTTTATATAGACCCGTATAAGCTGCTGCCACTGCAGAGGTTTCTACCTCGGCCTCCAGGTGAGAAAGGACCTCCAAGAGGCGGTGGCAGGGGAGGTCGAGGAGGAGGAAGAGGAGGAGGTGGCAGAGGTGGTGGCAGAGGCGGTAAGTCATTTATGGGGGGAAATTTGTAATGAGATTTCAAACTCACAGCTGATTCATGTGGTACACTTTAATTTTGTACATAGGCAAACTTCCCTTACAAGTATTTATTTTAAGTAAAGCTTCTTTCAAATGTTGGCAGGTTGCCCATAGTAATAATGCATTGTTTCAACAACTTCTTTAAGAAGAAAAAAATCTAAGAAAGTAAGCTTTTGAGGGATTTCATCTCTTGGGGTTATTCATGTTTTCTTGGCCATTTTAATAAAGTATAAGATTATCCTAACTGAATTTTAGCTTCTTAGTATCGTTGAGTGTTGATTGTATGTTAAGAGCTGGACACGTATTCTTTTAATATCTTGTGTATATTCTCTTGATACTCAGCAAAACCTTTCAAGATAGGTGATACGCTTATTTTATGGATGAGGAAACAGAGGCTTGCAGAAGTTAATTTGCCCCAGTCCAGGGGTGGGGAACCTGTGGCCTTGAGGCCAATGGATACAGTCACAAGGACCTAGAATTCTGGCCACATGTGGCCTTAAGGCCTCAGGTTCTCCCACCTTCCCTAATCAAACAACTGGCAGACCCAGAATTAAAATGCATGTCTTCTGATGTCGTGTCAGGAACTATTACCAGTAAGTTAGTTGCTGTGACTGCAGTAAGTTAATTTGAGGCTTTCACACGTTCATCATTGTGGGCAGCGAGGTGCTGAGCAGGGTTGGGGTGGCTGGGGCTGCAGCGCTGGGTGTGCTCGTCCGCGGGCGTGGGGCTGCGTGAGTGACGAGACGGCGGGCAGAGCCAGAGTGGAAAGGGGGCTGTGCCGAAGTTGGGCTTGGACAGCTCCCACGGCTGGATCAGAAAAGAGGGAACTCTGTTTTCCTCTTTGCCTCTCTCAACTTAATCATCATTTCACTGTATAAGTGTGCCTGTTTGGGTCTACTTAGGTAGCAGGGAATCTCTTAAAAAGAGAACGTATTTCTCTCTTGAGTATTTTTGGGGGTAACTTCTTGAGAATTTCACGTGAGCGTCACCTATGGTCTATATGTAGCTGAATAACCTTAAACGTCGTGTTTACTATAGCTTTCCCAGAGCGAAACCACTGATACTGCCACCCCTTGTTCTTGGGGTAAAAGCCTTAATTCCATCAAACTATTCTTAGTTCAATCAAAAAAGTATTTGCAAAACTGAGGTAATCATATGCTTAACAGTAGGGCTAAATCATACTTTAACAAGCTTTTCTAATCCATTAAAATGGAATACTTGCTGAAAAGGTGGTAATCTGGGGTTTTAGCCAACTTC